CAATTACCAGAATTACTGGGAAATAAGTAGCTTCCTTTTAAAGAGTCATCAGTTACATTCTAACAAGTAGTCAACTGCAAGGTGTGGCTCTTCTGAACACGACTGAAAGTCACTGTCAGACTAAAACGTAGAGATTTAGCAGTTTGAGCAGAGAGAAGAGGGCCTTAAAAAGAACATTCTGGGTGACCCATCGATGGTAGAATGCCAAAGAAAGTTTGAACGGCTCTCTAAATGCCTTCCCAGTAGATGTCTGAAATGAAATCTTGGTGGTAGCACCATGCAAAAAAAAAAAAAAAAAAACAACCCAAACCAAAACAAACGAACAACAACAAACCCAAACAAAACAAACAGCTCACCTCTAGCAGGGTGCATTCTGGCCACAACCAGACATACTATGTCACTAGATTCATACAGGGAAACACACAACTAGAGATAATAATCAGTGCATGCCAGTAACAAAATCCCTGCACCTCCTAGCTGTGGAAAAACATGATTTTCTGAGGAACCTGAATCTGCAGAGATAAAAAAGAAGTGCTTCTAGTATCAAAGGTATGAATGAAGTAGACTTGTCCACAGACACTCAAGTCTGAGTAACATGAAAAGATTAATCTCTTGACTAAAGCGGAACTCAAACGCACTCTAGGGAAAAAAACTAGGTTAATTCTAGAAAAAGACCTTATTTCAGGAAAAAAAAGCAGTATATGATGGACCAATGCGGTAGGCCTTAATCATCCCTATATGCCTGAAGAACATAGTTGTAAGAAATGCCCATTTCCAAGGATCTTACAGAAAGTTCTATAAAACTCCTGAGGGATAAGATTAGAGCCCATCGAATAACTAGCTCTTGAAAGAAGATAAACATTCAAATCCTTTCATGAACTGTATAGTGTGGAAGCAGAAGTCAGGACAGCTGTAACAACAAGCGGATGAACTTTACAGAATTAACAGATAAATCAGCACATTTCAGTTTCAAGCAGACATCCCACCACAGTCAGAATCCAAAGAACAAGAACGCCACAGAGAAAATCTGGCCAATTTAGCAGTCTGTCTGATTCACAGACACCATTCTGAAACTAGTATACACCAGAGAAGAACATGAAAGATGCACTGCAGAGAATCATGTACTCTCTCCACTCTAGCAGCTCCAAAAGGGATCTCTGACTTTTTGAGGAAGTCTGTTAGAATGACCCTGCTTGTGGAAGACATCTCCTAGGACAAAAGAACTGATCTCTCACTTATCCAGGCTGCAGTCCTGCTGATTTCATTCACAAGGGGACAGGTGAAGCTGTGCAAATCCATCAGGTGCAAAAAAAACCACCACCCAACCAATCAATCAATCAATCCTCCCCACAAAATCTGTGACACTCTATCCACAATTCAACACTTCCTGACAAAGCAGGAGACAACTAAACTCTCCTCTACTTATTTATGAAGTGGCAGGTTGTTGGTAATCGATTGTATATAAGAATTCCAAACGAATAGGGTAAGAACAACATACATACTTTGTGGGTCACTGCAAAATGCCAGTGTGGAAGAAAAGACCCTAGTGATTACTGTCCCTAAACCACATAATGAAGAGGGCAATAATCACTGCAAGTACCTTTGGCAGGGGAGAATGAAGAGGCATGCTAAGGAGGAAAAGTCTTGATGGCCGCAGAAACTATTACCGGCATCTATACAAACAAAATTAAGCCAAAACTGAAAATCCAAAAATAAAGCATATCACAATGCTGCTTCTGCCACCAGACTACTCAGTTGTACAACAGGCTGTCAATGTCAACAGACACTGAACAGAATCCCAGTGGAGCAAGTCTGTCCACAGACAAGTTGGCTTCGGCAGTTTTAAGAGTCTGTCACGACAAAGAGCACACACAAACAAGAAAGCAGCCAGCACTTTGCTCAGAAACGATGCCACATGACAGAGCCACTGTGCTTCCAGACCCATGCAGACTGTATCCTGCAAACATATACAGACTGATTTTTGTCCAAGCAACACAAACCTTGTGGTGAAAATCATCAAATTAATACTCCTGTATCTAGATTTGAACGGCATAAATGAAAAATTATTTCTCTTAAAGCTCTCTCATAAGGAAAACCTGAAGTTGCTTGTAAGGGAAAAGTAAACTGCAGCTGGTAGCACATGATAATGGAAGGAAAAAGAGACTCACTTAGTTTTTCCTCTATGGTGGACTAAATGGTTTCAAGAACATAAAATAGCACCCAGAGTGACAAATGGCCAGGTGGTAAATAAAGCAACTTAAACATGTTCAGTCCTGATTATCCAACTGAGGCAATTTACCTGCAATATGCCAGAACTGCGTATGAACACAAAATTCCATCATACAGAGCCAAGAGCTCAAGCCTGCCTACTCAGAATTTAAATTACAGCAATTTTCTGCTCATCTTATCTTAAAAATACATACTGTATTAGGGACATCATAAGCAACTCCCTTGCCAAAAACTGGTGTCGTTAACCGAGAGTATACATCCTCTGCATTCAAATCTTCATTTTTACTATTGAAGAGTAGAGCAGCAGCATCACTACCCAGTAAGTATGTAAATGTCTTGCCAACCATAGTGAAACTGAACACAGGTCCATACTAAGAGAGAAAAAAAAAAAAAAAATAAAAAATTTCATTTTAAATAAGAACACAAATCATTAAATCCATCTCTTTATTTACAGGCTTCCATAAATCACTTACTCTCCAAAGAAGTATCTAGAGATTTAATAAAGATATAAATATTTGAAACCAAATTTAAATTCTGTTCTTGATATACTTACTAGTGATATCTAATGTTACAACAAACACACACAATCTTGCACATTTTAAAACCATTTAGTTTAAAAAATGTAAATAAAAAATCAGATACACTACAAAAACTAGCAGGGAGATTACAGCACATATAGCCTCCAGTAATTTACAAATGCTGTCTCAAAAAATTCTGGATTTGGAATTATGCATACACAATTAAGAGAAAATAAGATTTTAAAGCTTAAAAGTCATGTCCAGTAGATCTTCACATACTAAATTTGGATTTCCCTAAACATCTAAGCTTATGACTCTAGAAAGTTTTCGACACTGTGAAACAAATCAGTAAACCTTATTTCATTGGAATTAAGGCTCTAGTGCCTTAGTCCATTTCTTTTGGGCTGTTACAGTATAAAATGTTCTGAAATTTTATACGGTAGTCATTTTAACATTGGAGAGGGCCTTCAAATCCATCAAACTGCCTACAGAGGTGGTAAACTACATTCCAGCGTAGTCATAGATTAGTAGAGTGAGATTAAAAATTCCCAATCAGGGCAAGAAATAACATCATGAAAATAGCTTTTTAATTAACTTGTGATTCAGCTATGAGCATTACCAAAACACACTGACATATTTTTTTAAATCTGAATCTCAAGTGATATCTCAGAAGACACTATTTCTCTAACAACAATGTTCATAAAGAGATCTGAAGAAACCAGAGCCTACTGTGAACAGTGCATTCCATATTTGAGGTGGTAAATGAGAATGAACTGATTTTAAACAGGCTCTAGATATAGAACTTAACAGATACTCAAAAATATTTTAGCATATGCTCAGCTAGTCATGTGGGACAACATACCTTGTCATAAGCATTTTCCAAAAATTCAATGGGACTTTTTCCAAATGCGATTGCATGTCCAAGGAAAGGGATGCTTGATGAAATGTAAGGGGGGTATTTCTGAGGAAGAAAGATAGAAATACTTATTGAATTTTCTTCAGAGAGTAATAAAATCATGTTGACTTACATCAAAACTAAACACAGAGGAGGCTTGCTACCTGTTTTGTTTATACCCTTTTTGTGAAAAGGCCAACTTTGGACAAGCGATTATTTTTTTAAATAGACTAAGACTGAGGCACATCTAAAAGCAGGAGAGGTTAAAATAAAATTAATGCGATTAAAATTCTCGCTAACCTGCCTCTGAAAGGAAAGCACGAAGATATTGCAACTGGAAAGAAAGCAGCCAGAAGCAACACAGTGTTGACAATATGTTAAACGGTCCCTCAAAAGCATCAACCTCTGTTTAGCAACATGTTTCACACATACGTGGGTGCCGCCTTTTAAGCTGCACTGATGAAGCGATACCGGGCACCGCCTGCGCCTCTACAAACCTCGAGCACCTCTGCTTCAGGCGGTACCAGCCACCGGGCGCAGGGACAAGCCGGAGCGGCGCTGCCGCCGGGCGCCGTCCCCGGGGGAGGCCGCCGGGAACGCTCCGCGATGGCCACAGCCCGCTCCCGCACCCCCGGATTGCGCCGCCCGTGCCTTGTGCGCTCCCCAAGAAGGGCTCTGCAGAGGCGAGAGGACCGCCGCTCCCCCGCCCGACAGCCCCTCAAGGGAGACGGCCGGCCCGCCCGCTCCCGGCCCTCTCCCTCTCCCTCTCCCCTGCCCCGGCCCCGGCCCCGGCCCCGCCGCGGGTGACCTGAGGTCCCCCAGCGCCTACCCTCTGGTCGGACCCGACGTGGCGCCGGTACCCCAGTTGGAAGAGGTAGCCGAGGCTCAGCGCGAAGGCGGAGGCGGCCAGCACCAGGGAGAGGGGGTTGCCGACGGCCACCCGCTCCAGCAGCGACCCGCCGACCTCCATCAGGCTCAGCATCGCCTCAGCGCGCCGCCCGCGCGCCCGGCCCACTCCGCGCGCCGCGGGGGCGGGGCTCTGCTGCCGCCACGCTCCGCCTCCCCGCCCCCCCCCCTCCTTCCCGCGCTGGGCTGATCTCTGCCCATGTGACGATTCCTGGCGCCTGAGCCAACCGGCGGCCGCGCTCTGCGGGGTGACGGCATCTGCCGGGCTACGAGGGGCGCCATTGGGCGGGCGGGGGGGCGGGGCGCCGGGCAGCGGGCGGGGATTGGCTGCCGGCGGGCAAGGGCAGCGTGGCCCCGGGCCGCAGCCGCCAGCCCCGGCCGCCCCGCGCGGGCGCTGCGGGGGGAAGGGGCCCCGCCCGCCGCCGTTCCCGCTCCCCGCGGCCCCCCCACAGCCCCAGACCTCGGGCCTGCTGGGCCCGGCCCTAGCACTGCTGTCGGCGTTGCTCAGCGCTCGGTAGCCTCTGTCCGCTGAAGCACCGCTCAGCCCAGCGGGGCCGCAGCAGCTTCTCGGTGCCAGAGCACGCTGGGGGATAAACGGAGGCCGGAGAGAATCGCACGTGGTCAGACCCACGGGTGTGTTGAATTTGTGGGGGGAGGTGATACATGTGGGTATAAGCTTGTGCGGGGATCGTGTCAGCCCTGCAGGGATTCACACCCACACATGCAACGCCACAGGCCCTGGGGAAGAGGGGCTGGAAAGCTGCCTGGTGGGAAAGAACCATCACGGTCAACAGCCGGCTGAATGTGAGCCCAGGTGGCCAAGAAGGCCAGCAGCACCCTGGCTAGTATCAGAAATCATGTGGCAAGCAGCACTAGGGAAGTGAACGTCCCCCTGTACCCGGCTCTGGTGAGGCCACACCTCAAATACTTCGTTCAGTTTTGGGCCCCTCACTGCGAGAAAGACATTGAGGAGCTGGGGTGTGTCCAGAGATGGGCAACAGAGCTGGTGAGGGGTCTAGAGAACAAGCTCAGGGGTGACTGGGGTTGTTTAACCTAGAGAAAAGGAGGCCCAGGGGTGACCTTCCTGCTTTCTACAACTCCCTGAGAGGAGGCTGTAGTGAGGTGAGTGTTGGTCTCTTCTAAGTAACCAGCAATAGGACAAGAGGGAATGGCCTCAAGTTGTACCAGGGGAGATTTAGGTTAGATATTAGGAAAAAATGTATTCACCGAAAGGATTGTCAAGCACTGGAACAGGCTGCCCTGGGAAATGGCTGAGTCAGCATCCCTGGAGGTATTTAAGAGACATCTAGCCATGGCACTGAGGGGACATGGTTTAGTGGTGGATTTGGCAGTGCTAGGTTAACAGTTGGACTCGATGATCTTAAGGGTCTTTTCCAACCTAAATAATTCTGTGATTCTATACGTTTATCCCATGCGTGATTGCCCCACGAGTCCCTACCCATGTGAGGGTGAAGGGTGGGTATGAACTTGCATGGAGAGACACGCACATGGGTAATGAACTTGTGTGGAAAGACCATGCATAGGTTGAACTTGTGTGGGGGTGAATGCATATGGATGTGGACATACATGAGTATGAACTCAGGTGAGAGAACCATGAGTGGATGTGAACTTAAGTGGGGATAAATTGTGTGGACAAACAATGCATGGGATGAACTCACATGTGGAGAAGCACAAGTGGGTATGAGCTTGTGTGGGGATAAGCAGATGTCGGTATGGACTCATGGGGATAAACACACGTGGGTATGGACTCTGGTATAAACACAAGAAACACGGGTATTAACTCACATGGAGTGCTTGGGTATAAAACATGCATGTGGTGAAACGTGTGTGGGGAGATGTGTGGGGGGATCACCTGTGGGGATGACGTACACCAGGGGGCCTACCTGGGATAACCCACATCAGTTAATCCACTCGGGATAACTCACACCAGGTAACTGGCTCACACCACGATAACCCGCCCAGGATAACCAATGTCAACTATCCCATCCTGGATAACTCACACCAGAGAATCCACACAGGACAACCTACTCATGATAATCCACACCAGATTACAGGCAACAACAGGCTGTATTATACCAGCAGTGTTACTCAGACAACTGAGCGCACAGACACATTCTTTGCTGCAGAAAAAGGTCAGCCTTGTAAAGGGCAGGACCCTGCCCGCCACACACTGCAGCGATCAGTGCTTTGTGCTGGTCAGGCCTTTATTTGCCCGGCAATCACACTTGCAAAAATCACACCACTTAAAAAGATTTCACAGATGGGACCCCTGTAACAGCTGTATTAAAAATAGTAAATTTAAGAGAGGATGCTCGGTTAGAAGCCATTGCAGATCTTAGCAGTATACATTAAAAACTGAAAAACTGTCTTTTTCTCAGTCTCATGCTTCACCACCCTCTTACCTCATGATGTATTTATATGCTTCAGAGCATAGTTCAGTGCTTACATTTTACTAATGGACTGAATGTCTGATACTCACCACTCAGGTTAAGCTGCTGTAGATTTCTTATTGATGCAATAGATGTGGGGAGCTGGACGATACCATTACTATTTGCAATTAAACAGACCAAATACTCCAGTTCTTTGATGCTGTCTGTAAGTTCCTTTAATGAATTGTGATATATGTCCAATTCCCTGATACAAACCAGTTTAGATAGCTTCTCTGGAACTGTAAATAACTGATAAAGAAATAGAACAGTTCATTTATTTAGATACAACTCTTTCTTGTCTGCAGAAAGTTTAAAAAGTAACTTTCCTGCAGGCAAAATAAGGTTCCATAATTTAATTCCAACAATAAAAGCTTCTGACCTTCAATTCCTAGTGGAAGCTAATTTGGTATTTGACAATAAAAATATGGATGCTGAGGACAAAAAACTGCAGGGAAGCTTTTTAGACATGATACTAGAAAGGCAGTAAAAATCGTGCAGTAGAATAATACATCTATAGCTGGAGCTTTGGCATATGTTCTTTTGGTCACTGTTATTAATGAAAAACTTTACCCTCAGAACACTAATTTTATTATCTGTTTTCTTCAGACATAGGATAGTGAAACATAATTTTATTCTTTTTGGTTCTGTTCTTACTTTGGTCTTTTCTAATTTTTATTTTCCTTCTTGGAACTTCAACTGTTCTGCAGTTTTTGTTGAAACTAAAGCTACAACTCTCTGAGTAAATGGACGTAAGATCGCTTACTTTTTGCTCCCTGGTCTGAAGAAAGCCAGCCCTTGGGAAAGATCATAACCACATTTGAAATCATATAAAGAAATAAGAGCCTTTTCTGAAATCAGGTATGAAATACAGATTTTGCAATTTCTGGCGAAAAGAGAGATAACTCATCAGGAGATTGTTTTGCTCTGTTCCTTAGTAAAAAAAAAAAAAAAAAAAAAAATCAAACTTTGGCTTTTAGAAATGTAAAGGAATTTTTTCTGCTATAAGAAATCAGAGATGCAGTATAGCTTTTCTTGAGTAGTGAAAGTTTAATGACCAACTAATTTTAAGAAGCATGACATGAGTTGGAAGGATTTGTTCATTTCACAGAGAGGAATCTTGGAGACAGGATTATCTAGCAAATCCCAGCTAGTTGTTTTGTCTCTTGACATTGATTGGGATGGAAAATACCTACATTCCTAATAGTTCTAGAAAAATAAAAAATATATGGTCTATTTTTGATCAATCTAATTATCAAAATATCACCTCAAGGTATACCTCAATAACACTATATAAAGTGAGGTTCATGTCTACTATTTGTAATTAAAAGTGGATCCTAATAATTTTTGTCCAATTCTGCTATTCGAAGTAGGTTAATACGTTCCTAAGTTTGCCTCTGTAGAAGCTATTTTTCTGCTCTTTGTTTACTCTAGGTGTGTTCAAACACAGGAGCTTTTACATCTGTTAGGAGGAAGTCTATTAATAATGATTTTGCAGCACAATAACCTGGCAACACAAGTTTTTCTTACCCAAAGGAAATGTTCTCTTACCTTCAACCCTTTAATTCAACACACTGTTCATGTCTCCAGCGAAGAAAGATGACCTATTTCAGAAGGAAAAGATCCAAACTGGTTGGTTGATACATTTAGGGACTTGATCACTTCCAGATTACTAATCTGGAAAGGAATGCTCTTTATCTGATTATTTGGAATGTGGAGTGTTTTCAAACACTTTACACAGTTCTTCAGGACTTACTATGGTGTAACAGCAGTATCTAGAGAGCCTTCATCCTGGATGACACTGCTGGCATGCTATTGATTTAATTCTCACTTATATCCTAGTTTTGTAAGGCTATACAGGCATGCAGAAAATGGGGACAATTTATTTTTGTTTAACTCTAGATGCTCAAAATCTTTAATGTCAGAAATTCCAGGTATTATTTCTGAAACAGAGTTGCCACTAAGATTTAAAGGTTTAAGATCAAATAGTGCATACAATGCATTTGGAAACTGAGAGCGCTTATTATTGCTGAGGTTATCCGTATACAATTTTTTAATTCAAGAGGAATGTATCTTAATACATTTCCAGAAAACTCTGGTTTGGAGAGGTCTTTCAAATGAGGTATTTGTCCACCCAGTGAGTCCTGTGACTTTCTACTTAAAGATAACTCCTCTTAATGTTTAAGTCTGAATATTATCAGGAAGCTGGGTTAATTGATTATTATGTATAATGAGATGTTTCAGCGTGGTACAGCTGAAAAGATTATCTGTGATGCTTCTGAATACATTTTTGCAAGGTTCAGAAACCCAAGTTCTCATAAATTCTCCAGTTTATCTGAAAGAAACTCCTATCTGTTATCATCAACTCTAAGTACATTTAGGTTTATCAACCACAAAAGCTGCACAGGCAAAAATATTAGCTAATTGTTACTAAATGATAATTTCTGTAGTTTCTTAAGTTCTTTAATATCCTTTGGTTAAACTCCAAGTTCTCACACATGCTAAGTTTTAAGAGATGAGGAAGATAGCAGAGAACCCTTGAGAATATTGAGACTTGAGTGGAATCAGTGTTGAGTACCTTCAAATTTTTCATGTCAGATAGGGTATCGTTTTTATCTTGTTGCTTGTGAATTCTAAAGTTTCAGGGTTTTCCAATGCAAAAGGAAGTTCATCAATGTTGTAGTGATTGAGAAAGAATTCCTTAATATCTAGAAGCTTTGACAATTCTTTAGGGAGACATGATAGACAACTGGTTGTGACTGACATTCAGTACTATCAGTTTATGAAGTAAGGATATTTCTGGTGGCAACAGTGTTGGTCTATTTCTTTCAAGTAACAGGACTTCCACATTAGTTAGATTACCTATATTTGAATGCAATGTTTTTATTTCATTGTTGTGTAAGAGCAAGTATTTTAAATGTTGTTTTTCAAAAGTGAGCAGACACATGCTCCCCAATCCTTTAGCATTTAGTCTAAGTGTGAAAGTCTCATCTTTTTCTTCAGGCAATGTATATATTGATCCATTTTCATCATTTTCAGGATTCACTGCTGATAGTAATAATAATAATAATAAAAAATTAAAAAGGTTTGGCACCACCTTTGACAGCTTCTGACAGGATTTGGCTTAGTTTTCCAGTATCCTTTTCAGCTGATGTAAGTAGTGTGTGTTTTCTCACACCTGTTTCAGACACACCTTGAGGCACTGTGACAGCATTTATCTCAGCTGAGAATTTATATTCATACCTTTTTTCAGGAAAATCACTTCTTGATCTATTTTCAGTCATTTTATGGCTTTCCTCATTTCCCCAGCTGCTTAGGAACTTCGTGTGAAATATCACTCAAACTTTTCATAGTTAAGTTAGCTACTTTAGGATTCGCCAATGAATATAATGGGTTTTCCTGGCATCATTAACTGGAATCTCACAAAAGCTTTTGTTTAGTCCTTTTGTATTTAGACCACTTGGAATTTCATCTGCTTCCTTCTCCAGAGACATTGTTCCTTTTTCTGGGTTGCTAATTGATTATTATCAGTATTTTTTAATAAAACAAACTGTAAGAATAAAACCTGTGTGGAATAATTCATTTTCACATTAGTAGACTAAGCTAGCAATTGTAAGACGTCTTGTTAAGAATCTCTGCTTACCCCAAAAAAGTGATCATTCTACTGCAGTGCTTGCTACTTTAGTACCTCATTTCTTCCAGACAATAGACTATAGATCATAAAACATGTATCAGCAATGTGTGATCTGCTGCTTGACATTTCACAGGATAGCCTGACCTGTCTCAGACAACAGATACTGCTCAGTTTAGCGAATGTTCCACAGTTCTCTAGAGCTCTGTTTGCATGTTCTTCCCACTTTAAACTTTAATTTACTATGTTAAACTTTTGTTCTCCTGATGATACATCTCCTAGTGATGTATCATCAGAAACAGTATTTTCCCAACTTCACTTGACTGCCTGTTGACAAACCAAAGGTATTAGTTGGTCTCTTCCTCTCCCCTTATAGGCAGATTTATATCATCTTACCCTGCAAGTCTTCAAACACAAGTCACTTGAATAGATCTAGTTTTTTTCCTAGTTCCTTTAATACAAGTCTTTCTGCTGATAGGGTAAAGTGTTACAAAATTAATCATAATATCCTTACCCATATTAATAAAAAATCTTTTAAGGTCAAGCGGAACCTTTTGAAACCACGTACGTTGTGTTGAGCCTGTACCTGCATTTTTTCAGTAACAGCCTATTTTCTGAAGCCCATCTAGCAGTGGGCTAACAATAGCAGGGAAACCCCAATCTTTCTAGAGTAACTCTTCCCTGTCGCAAAGCAGCAGCAGGACATCTGGGCTGTGTGAGGGGTTCCCCTCCGGCCCAGGGCCTTCCCCTCGGACAAGCTGTGGCCGTCCCCATGGCGCAGGCAGAACCAGCCCCTGAACTCATAAACAGCTCCCGACAGGCAGGCAGGGAGGCTGGCACCCCATCTCGGCACCCACCAGAGCCGCTGCCGCAGCAAGCCCCCGTGGAGCCAGGACGGCGCCGCCGCCCCGCCGCCGCCGCCGCTCCCCTCATGGCGTCCGGCGGTTCCTGCGGCAGCCCAACGGCGCCTCCTCCCCGCCGCAGCCTCAGGGCGCGAAGCTGGAACCGGAGCCGTCCCACAGGCCGGCAGTTTAAGGTCGGTGAGCCAACTGTGGGCAGTTTGAGTTTTGCCACCATTCGGCTTATCGCTAACCTCAAACCGTGCAGGTTCGCTTCACCACGGCAAAACAGACTCCTCGCCTGCGTTCACAGAGGTGAACAATGCTCAAGTCAGCACGCTAGCCTGATTATTCCACTTGATAAAATTGTGCCTGTTTCTGAGTTTTAAATTTTCAGTTGCTATTTTGCCTTACGCTGCCTGGCTGGAGTAATCCACTCTCAGATCTTTGCTTCTTCAGCTATACAGTTACTCACTTTTTAAAAAAGTGCTTCTTAGATAAGCTGGAAGAGTTAAGCTGCATATTTCTTGCTTACAAAGGCGTAATTTTCAGACTTGCCCTTCTTGCAGCTCTAATGTTTGGTATAGATAGGAGGGTTGTAACTCAGTGGTCTGTCTCTACAGTGTTGGGTTTCTCTCTGTCCCCATTTTTCATTTCCCCACTTTTAGATGGAAAGATTGTACTCGCCTCCCTTGTCACAGCAATGCAGTAGAAACTCCTGTGTACCCAGGTACCAGAAGCCTGCTGGCTCTGTAACTGGGTTCTCACTAAATGACTCCACTGACACACAACATCTGCACACTTGTGGTTTGCCGTAACTAACAGTTTCCAGTTTTCCTGACAGGACCCTCCCTATGATCCTCTCTGATGATCTTCCTACGTACCTTGCAAAGATGAGCCTGTTACTGCTCTTCGGTAGCAGCACCTGCTTTGCAAGACATTGGATGGCACTTTCACATTGGCTGCAATAATAAAAACAACAAACATGACTTGCTGCTACCAATTTATTATGTCATAATAAATAAGAATTTAGCAGAAAGAATTATACAGCAATAAGGCATATTAATAGTATTGTTAAATATGCAACTGCCACACATTTTAACATTTTCCTCTAGTTTTCTAACAAAGTGCTATGTAGAGAAGTGTATTTCTGATCCCAGTGCGAAGTGATAGCAAGGATGCACTATGAAGGACCTGACTGTTGCATTATTTACCTTAAATAAAATATATATTTACATGAAGATTTACTGTTATTTATGCCAGTGAAGGAAGTTTAAGCAGAAAATTATAGCTTGTTAAGATTACAAAACAAGTCTCCTGTTCACTTTTTAACACTGCTTACTACTTTTATTTCTTAAACTGCACTTACTAGTAGTAAGATGTGAGTAAAGTTACTACACAACAGCACAGCTCCTAACATTCATTTTAACTTTTATTTGAAAACTTAGGGGTAAGTGCTAATTTTTATTTTTTAAAAAACCTTTTTTACAAAATATTGCACACTGTCTTAGCATGCAGTTTGCATGGAAGAAATAGTCAAGTGCACTTAAAACCCTGAAATACAACCAGAAATTTTGCAAGACTTGTGTTATGGATACGTTTTTAACATACAAGGATATGTTTCAGACTACACAGGGTCCCACCTTACACTTGGGACCCAGCTTGTTGAGACCCAATCCCGACTCTGCAAAGAGCAGGCAGAATGCTTACACAAACTGTATCTGACTTCCCTGCAATATAAATCTTCTTTCTTGCATCCTACACTGTTTGTAGCTTCAGGAAACTGATGTAAGTCATCAGTAGGAAAATTAATTTAACAGAAATAACTTAGTACCTCCTATATGAGTTTTCATTACTGCATATGTGTTGCAATCCAGGGTACAATTTATTAAACTTTCTGAAGTCCTCTGAGTAAGATTAATTCGTAAATCTGTATCTCCCCCTCCTCCATATACACATTTTATATTGCACAGCAAAAGTAAAAATCCATTTTTTTAAAAAACAAGCATGCTAAACATTTAATATGGCTTCTGAATGAAGTACTTCCCTTTTGACATCCTCATGCAATATTTTAGAATAAATATGAATACAAAGTATGAGAGAGTTAAGAGTAAAAATAAAGCCAGCTATAACATTTGTCCGAAACCAAATAAAAACCAAGAGTTTATCAAAAGTAGTTGCTCAAATGTCTAACTGGTCTTTTAAGCACACTTATTAACAGTATCTTAAAAATAAAGTGTGTCTACAAAATACTGTAACATATACAACCTCCTTGATGTTCCACAAAATGACATGAAAGGTAAATAGTTTAACTGAGACTTGCTTAATGACACTGGTAGTCCCACAGTCCTCTGGGAACAAAAGCCTTATTTGATTCATGCTCACCCCAACTCAGTAAACCATTTACATTTCATTAGCTTTATTGGTTAAGCTCAAGCCTTACAATAGCTTATATATGAAACACAAAAATATTTATAAAAATAATAGATATTGTATTGTATAGTTTTTTTAAAAAAATAAACCATGCAGCTTCTGTACAAAGTTAAAAAACTGTACAAATTGACTTTTCTGTTGTGTAAAATTCATGTATGTGGAAGTCTTCTGTTATGATGAGAAATAAGTTGTTTTTTGCTTAGCCATCAGATGCTGTTTCATAACTATTGTTCATTTCCATCATTCATTTCTTTCACTTGGCATTAACTGGCCATTTAACTTCATCAGGAGTTTTATGACGAGACCTGCCTATATAAAGGTATACAATTCAATTCCATCAGCATGTCAGAACTTTGACGCAATCAAATATATGACAAATGCAAGTAGATAAAAATAACATATTAGAAGTTGCATCATTTTAGATAGGGAAAATAAAACCTAGAATTTTCTCAGCCATTGGGAAGTGTTTTTAAAAATATTCAATCACCCTATAACCACTTAATACATAAGAATCTAAAGCAACTACTGTCAAAGTATGCCAGACACTCAATGCAGTAATTTTGTCACGATACATGTTAACACTGCATATTACCACTGATGCAGACTATGGGTAAAGCTTGCATTTTCCATCAGACATCCACAAACTCTTATCAAAAATTGCTGATAGCAATTGTAATGAATTTGTTTTATAAGACTGACTCCACAGATCCTCAGTTTTACTCAATTTCAAACTCTGCTAGTTTTGATAGCAAAGTTACCAGCTCTAACTCTGTGATTCTCATCATATTTGGAATTATCCTTAGAGTCTAAGGGATTTGGCACATGCAACAAACAGTTTCTATTTAAAAAACAAAAGTTCTCTAATGATTACAGATTTATTTTATGTATTTTGAACCCTAGAGCCTTCACACGGTAGGAAAACAAGCAAACATTCTGAAATATTAAAAGTTTTAAAATAATTTTTGTGGAGGCTTGGCTTGGGCTTCTTTTATACTGTACAAGGGTGGTCAATCTCAAGAGAGAAGAGGCATGTATTTTGTTTAGGAAAAATATCTGAACATAAAGGATGAAAAATGACAATGCTTACCTGTTTGGTATGCACAATAAAGCTCATTTTGTTTTCCAGACTGTGGATTTGAAAACATGTATCTCCATCTCCCAGCTGCCACATAAAGCAACCATACTTTAGGCTAAGAAGTAAAGCCTACAATGAAATATAGGAAACTGTCACTCAGAAAATATTCTCCTTACAAACTGAACCTTCCTTTGTTCACTTAGACAGGACTCTGATTTAGAGCAGTATGTTCCACAATCTAGTTGTAGCTTATAAAGTAGTGAAGTGGAAAAATACAAGGCTTTCTATTAGTAGTGCCTTATGAAGATTGTAAATCCTTGGAAATCTTTACAGTCAAGTTTAAGTAAACAGATGCGAAATGAATACTAGCACAAAGAATTCAAGAGAACAGAATTAAGCTTAACAGATATCATTGGCAGTTCACTTCAGCTGACCTTTGTTTCCATGTTGAGGAGGTGCAGCCCTTTTACATTTACTCCTACATACACTTTGATGACTTTATGGCTACTTGAACTTGCTTTGGTAAATATCTGTCCTGTGAAAAAAGCTGCTCCGTAAGTAGGAATTTCCCAGCAATTCTGCAAGAACATGCGCTGAAGGTGATGCATCTCTTTACTTACACCTTCACTGGTGCTGAGATTCTAGAAATAAAGGAACAATGGCAATCAACAAGTCTTCCCAAACAGTTGCAGTTATTGTAAGAAAACCCACTAGTGGAATTCCCACTAAGGGAGTACTCCCAAAGTGCTTTCCCAGTAACTCTCTACCCACATCTAAATTAAACCTTAGAGCCAGAGAAAGGCTCAAATGCCAAAAGAAACTAAGGCAGAAAGCAGATAGGTACCTGTATGAGCCTCAGAAATCTGAACAACAGACACCTAACCTCTTCTGGGCCCCACAATTTTGCCTTTCTCAGAAGTATGTCAGACTCATCAGGGATAAGCAGCTACACACCCATCTGACAGTAAATGCATCACAATCCTTAAAACTAATCATTCTTCCTCCTTTAAGGTGTCCAATCCAGTGAGACAAAGTAAGATGAGCAAGTACCTCCTCCCTCCCCCCCCCCCCAAAAAAAAAAATAATTTTTTTTTCTTCTTTTCTAAGCAAAATAGAGGTGCAGATTTATTTTCTTTAGTGGAGCCTTCATTCTGAATGAGACGAGCTTCTGTTTCTTCCTCTTCAGTAAACAGTCACAACAAAGGATTGCTAGATTGCTCCCACCTCAAAACAGACTGATTTCAAGTTAACAAACAAAAAACTTGGCTGGCCCACACATAAGATGAGGAGGCACAGGCATGAGAGGGAATACAAGTCTTCAACAAGTTAGGGAGCCATGACTGTGGGTGTGGTGGATGGGACCAGCCTCTTTGGATCCATACTCTGCATTACAGCTTATCTGAAATCTACACAGCCATTTAAAAAATGTAAAATATATTAATAACTTTTGAACAAAAGATTGCAACTCCTTTCCCCACACCCCAAAATAATGGTCTAAGAGCAGAAGTCAAGAAAGCTATGTTCATTCTTACATATTATCTGAGAAAGAGTACAGACTACTCTGCTATGCCAGAGTCTTAGAAAGACCACCACTATCCCTGCCTTCATCTGTATTAGAAACTGCAGGTTTCTGACAAAAAAGGTATAGGCACCAAGAGAAAGTTTATGATTGAGTAACTTCATCTCAAGAAGTGCAAGGCCTGAAAATATTCCTTGGGTGCCCCTGCAGTGTTTCCTGGCAGCTACCTTCAGTGATATATGTCAGCCCATACAGTTCTTCTGACACACCTCACTTTTTCCATATTTTTTTATGAAGCTCACAAGTTTAATCTTCAGGTGCCTCTAACTCTGTCTGCATTCCACAGCCCTCAGTTAGATGTCTTTTACAGAAGCAGCCCATGTCCACATTTAACAATTTTGCTCAATTAACTGCTCTAGTCACAGGAGTCTGTGCGTGTGTGCGTGCACACAGCAGCAGCACTACCAGATCCCTAACATACTAGGTACACTGACAAAAAGGACCTTGTGGATCTATCGCTACAAGCAGATGTGAAAATATAAGTCAGAGTTGATTTTTCTACATGTATGCCTGAATTGGCAGTATCCCAAATACACAGTTAACATGAAATGAACAGATGACAACTATATTTACTTCTAACAAACAGAACAACTGTAACTACAAGAAAAGCAACATTCCAACAACCCATCCCAAAAATTCAGAACATACACATTTCTAGCTTTACATACCAGTATTTTTGTTCATTAACTGATAACTAAACAGTCAAAAATGTTTAAGACTGGCTTTCTACTATTTGATTATTTATCTCACCTTGTATTCATGAAGTATCCTGTTTGTCCAATGAGGAGCTTTACTTTTTAGCTTAGTGATTGGTACTATAGATTTAAGATTTTCTTCACTAAGGGAAAAAGCAGAAAAAAAGTTTTTCTTCACTAAACAAAGGAGAAAGAACAGTGTCTGCCAGTTTCTATCTTCAAGTCACATACTGAGCTAGACAGTCATCTCCTACTCTATCTTGCTTCATCAGGTGAGAAGCTTTCCTGCAATGCAAGCTAAAGCTTCCCAAGATGTAGTGCAATTCTCAGTCAATGGAGATCCAACTTTGTGTTACACACTTTATGTCATTCACCATGGACATGGCAGGGAGAGGAAATGCTAACAGCAGAACACATGACTCTTACTTGGTTACAGAGCAGTCTGGTGAATTCCAGTTTGAAAGCCAAAATTATATACAGACTGCCATTTACACCAGAATACTACATACGCAGGCAAGATGACAGCTTATAGATACTCTTCCCTTCACTGCTGTATTCAGCCCCACCAAGGTCTTGGCCCAATTAATTTCCACATGAAATTTATATACTACATGACATTAAAGTGAAGTTATTTATATAAAGGGCCTTTTCAAAAAGACCCAAACCACAGCAAACAAAAAACACTAAAAGGAAGCCTTTACTAGTTTGCTCTTATGCACAACTAAGATAGTCTCAAAAACCTAGTGATGCAACCTATTTAGTCATTTTAAATGACATTTGTCAGTAACTGCACATATGATCTACCAAGCAAAAACCCTGCACAGAGCAATGCATCCAGATACTCTCATACAAACAACAGCCTTATTTTTTAAATGACCAGTCTTTTAATAAATATTTATGTCAACCACAAAATAATTCAGAATATAAATCTTCAGATCTGCCTGATGAAGAACAAGTCAAGATATTTTCCAACATCTTCATTAGAATATGGATGGAAAGCATGCCTAAATGCCCACAAGGCTCTTTATCTGGCCCATGCTATCTTTCCAAGTAGTCCTGTCTATAGAGTCAAACACTTCCATTCAGCACGATCAACTCAGAACCTCACTGCTGATTTGCCTCAGTGTGGAAAGTAACACTGCCCTGCAGCTGCTGGGATGCAGCAGGGGCTGGTTTCATATTAAACCCAGCTGTGTCTAACTAACTGCACACTCTTGCAGGTGGGCAGTCCCACTTAAACCCAGTTCTCATTATGCTCAATCTACTACATGTGTAACTGCAGGACAAGATGGGTCAACAGCTGAACCTACTGAATATCCCACCCAAGTCTTCCAGTCAGTGAGCTCATTCACCTAACTGACTCTGTAATGGTACAATCTCTGCACCTAACAGAAGGAAGAGAAAGGAACGAACAAGTGCAGTCAGTACAGCCAGCCCTTTCAGAGGCAACCTACCCTTACATCAGAGTAACTGTAGCAGAAAATGCACCCTGATTTACTAATGGTAGAGAACGCAACCAAAAAAAAAAAAAAATCAAGTCAGCTTAGTTGATGCTGTGAATGAGAGGAGTTGAGAAGTATAGCAGCATTCCAGAATAGCACATCTGATGTTACATGAATGAGTAGAGGTGGAGATGGTAGGGGGTGGAATGAAGGTGCACACAATAGAGCTGGAATCCTGATGTGCTTAGATACTGCTGTAGAAATGTATGTGGGAGGAAAAAGCCATATCCCAGAACAGCTCAGCTACTGTTGTGCTAGCAAGCAGAGAGAAGGGGAGAGAAAAGCACCATCTGGCAGGGCCCTACTGGTGCTGTGTTTCTGACCAATTTAGTATAGCAGTTCACAAACAAATGAGAGAACAGAAATAATATCTCTGCATGGCATGTCCTCTTCAGAGACAGAGTAAAGCCAGTCCCAGAAGCTGGTCTAACTGGACACAGTAAGAGGTTTCTTCAGCATTGTCCGAAGTCTCAGTCCTGTCAAAACCCTTCATTTACAGTAATACAAAAATGAGTAACAGTATTGATGTATCTCAGTATAGACTTATAGAATACAGAACCTCCCTCCCTCTACCTGGGACTGTAGTAATTAAGATTAACATATTTTTCAAACCCCATGTCCTGCTTCTATTAATGCTGTGAAGGTTATGTTGTTACTCTGATTAGAGCTCAGTGAAGAAGAAAAATAATAAATATATCATACCTAAAATTTAAGACTTCAGTAGTAAGTGCTGTCTAAAAATGCTTAATCTAAAACCATAATTTTACGTTTTAAACACACATACTTACTTTAGAAAGCCCTGTTTATGTTTCTTGCTCTCATAATTTCCATAGACTATTTGTAGAAGCAGACTTGCCAGTGTGATCAACTTGGCATCAGGTGATGTATAGAAACCTTTCAGTAAATTATATCTGGCTTCATCAAAAAGAATAAGAATAGCCAATGGATCCTCAATCTGTTAAAAAGATTTAAATGACATATTTTTAAAAGAAAATGAGCTTAGAAACTATAAATACAATTTCTCACTGATTCAGAGACAGAAGACAAAGGTGTGATCCTGACTGAAATGTACATTTTAGTAATGCTTTGTAATACAAAAAATGACATATTTTAATTGACTTAATTCAAGACTCCACTGATCTAACACACTTACAAATTACAGGTGACTAGCATACCATGCACAACAAAAAGGTTCACAGAAATACTGACATCTGGGTGTTTTTTTTCCCCCATGAATCCGTTTTGAATAATGTCTGAATAATCCCATTGAAATGGGCCAATTAAATATCTGAAAAAATCACAGCACAGGGAAGAGAAAGAAAATTGGGCAGGTTGTTTTTAGCTGTATGACAGACAGAGACTGAGGCACAGACTTAACGATAAACCAGTTGGGAAGGTGAGAAAAAGAGAAGAGAGAGCGGGTGGGAAGACAGGCGGGAGGGCGGGAAGAACCTGAAGACTCAAACTATTACAGAAAAGGAGAGGAGAGGTCTGGTTGAGATAAGTTTTGAAATTACTACAGTGATTAAACACACTGAGTGTTGATGGTCAAGAGTATTCTGACTGCCCATCATTTCACACTATCACTTCCAAGTGCAGACCTTTTTTTCTATTTCCAGTGGCAGTCTCACATCTCTTCTCAGGAAAAGCTGTGAAGTTTCCCTTTGAGGATCCAAGTTTGTTAGTTCAGTAAATATTTCAGGCCAATCTCGAATATGCTGCAAAGGCTTGTGATATGGCTTCAGTTGGAGGCCTAAAAAAATAATAGATTTTGTTTCTAAACAAACAGAAAAATCCCCTGCACATGCACACTCACACACACACACAGAGTTAAATGCTGCATCAAAACCAGAGTACCTGAAACTGAAGATTTATTAACATTTTTCCCTATGTTTTCTAAACTGCTATATATATAAAAGGTTTCGAAAATATGGATTTCTTGACAAAACTCTCAGCATTAATTCAACTATATGCACTAGGGATGAATCCCTGTTATTTTCAGCTTCTCAAGAGTGAAGAGTAAAAACTTAATGGAATACCAAGACAGATCTTCAAAACACAGCAATAAAACATTAGACACTCTTTTAACAATTATTACAGAAATACAAAGTCCAAAAATCTTCTCTTTGACAGAAAACCACAGATATAGCTTATCTTACAAATGTATTTGCCATTTTTGGATATATATAAACCATACATTTTTCAGAACATTCTTTTTTTATCCGTAAAACGTCTTGATTCTTAACAGGCTACAGTCACTCAATGTTTCATGTTCTCCTGTCTATATGAGAGCTGAGAAATCAATACAGAGCTCCTGACTACAGTCCATACCTCCAGTTACACTCATTCACTTACCCTGCCTGTCTTTGCGATTACTACTGCTTGGCTGTTTTCTAGTCCTGAGGAACTAGAAGGCTGTATCTGCCTCATCCTCATTGCCTTAGCTTTTACATTATGGCATTTCTCATTATATTTAAAACTTCAAAGGACATGTTATACTGCAACATCTCACTGAGAATAATCTGGTCAATCAACTTGTCTAGCTTACATTCAAACACAGAAAAACCTCATTAGCATAGTCATGTGGCACACAGCAAAGTAAAAAGGCAAATGGCATGACACTAGGAGAAAAAGATTTAGAAAGAATGAACAAAAAATTTCCTGCAATATTTATAGATTAAAAAAAAAAAAGTAACAAATGGCACTTCAGTGGAAGACTGACATTAGTAAATAGAATTTTAAATGCAAGGCTTCTGTGTTAATAACACTATCAACACAGTATCCTACCAGACCTGAATTGTGCTTTGTAAATCCACTGTAACATGTCCCGTAGCTATCTGGTTGCAGCAGTACTGTTTACCATACCATATTTTCTAACAAAACATAATCACAATCATTGACCCTTTTGTGGTTCTATTTATCTTTTGTTACATATCTCAGACTACAACTATAATATACTTTTTATTTAGATCAGAAATATGAAAAAATACAGCAAATATAATAAACCATGTTTTGAATCAGGACTCTCTTCCATCAAATATATGAAAACTTGTTTATCAAAACTAATTTTAGTGCAAAACACATCAAAATTCATACAATTAAAGAACCTAAGGGAAAAACATTAAACAGCTTTAATTACTACTTTTAGATAGATTAAACATTGGTAAAAAGAACTACATGCATCCAATTTCAGATATTCTGGGAAGAGAAATACCACTAAAATTGGGGTAAGTTAGCAGTGAAGGCTATGACAGCAAAAGTGCCCTATAACAAAAAGGCAATCTGGACTAGCCTCATCTTCCTAGATGAAATACATTCTAGATGCCTCAGTGATACACGGTCAGAGCTACTGAGGGTACCCAAAATGATGACTACAAGGGAGAAGCTCTCTATAGCTCTGAAAGCACAGTTAAAAGACATCAGGCTGTAAAGGCTGGCAGCTGATCTACTGGCGGAAAGCTTAAGCAGAAGAAATAGAAGTTGGTCTCATTCCCTGTGCAAAAGATACAAAGAATGAGACCTACAGGGATTACTGAGTCTCTGGCAGTGGCCGGAGTTAAGAGTATTAACAGACAGCCTAAATACAGATTAACTCCAAAAAATGTAGCTTGCAAAAGCTGATAGAAGGGGAATAATACAGAACTGTCAGAGAGCATGTTTCTTATTTTCCTAAGAAAACATTATTTTTTTCTAAAGACAAGCAGAAAAACAAAAGCTATGATAAACTCTCAGGTGTAACAGTACTCCTTGTTACTTACTGAGGTTCTCAGAACAGATCCAGATAGTGAAGTACTGCTGAGTTTCTTGAGACAAACGCATCCCCTCCATTATCTGCTGTACAGTAGTATTGTTTCCATGTTTCAACTCAACAGAGCGATATGACCCATCCATACGATAAATTCGTGCCTTTTCATACTACATAAAAATTTAAACATATTAAACAAAGAACTTGTTAAAATCCTTCCTGTTGGTGCTTCTGAAGAGGAAAGCAATTTTACCATAATTCAGCAACATCCACACTGTTCAGAAAAATAACACTGCACAACTCCTACACACTTACTGTTTGTCAAAACTGCTTGTTTCATGTCCTATGCAAGTTCTTATACTGTGCTCCACAGTAAATACAAGAAAGATCTTACTGATTCTTTGAGAACTTCACTTCTGTTGAACTCAAAAGCAAGTAGGCATTTAGAAGTTCCTTGAGGGATTTGCGCTCAACTATCTATGCATATCCCAAAACGTTCACCTCACTATTACTGGCAGGTTATAAATTACTCCCCTCATTAGTCTATACTAAAAAGACTGATTTTTCAGAGGGAAGCACCACCCTTTAGCACAGATCCCAGTACAATAAAAATACAATCTCACTAAGATCTTTTAGCACTTATATAATATTGCTGCTAATAAATAATTTTTCCCCTTCAGAACTCCCATAGCTTTCACTAAATTGCACGTGGGCCCAGAGTATGCCTCCTGAAAGACGTATTTAAACTTAAATCAGGTGCTTAAAGCATATATGCACAAGTCATAAAACAGTGAAACTTCTTGTGTTTATATCTCTAAAAGGTTAAAAGTTCCAGCTGTTTGAATAAAAAAGTTGCAGGAATTTGTTATTTCCCTTCTTCAAGTCTACTCAATCGTCAAGAACTGAGACATCAATCCTAAAAACTTCTGGGAAAAAAAGATTAATGCCTTGGAAAATGACAGCTGACTAAAAAAGACTGGAATGGAAAACATCAGTCTATTTTTCCTGCAGTAGTCACTGTGACTCCTATTTCAGTAATTTCTATAATTTTTTAACTTTTAATGTATTAATTCAATAGTAATAAGTGGCAACGTAATATCACCTATTATGCTGAGAGATCTGCTCAAAATGTGTGCATTAGTCTTTTAGAGTCATTAGACACACATCTGCCATTTATCGACTGCATAGTAAGATCTCTAAAACAAAGGAGGTCAATTCCTTCATTAATTATTTTGGAAGATTCATTCATATAGAGTGAATGAAGACAATTTAAACCATCTGGAAAAATTGGCAGGTTTACTGCCACCTACCTACAGAGATACAGGTTGCATCTGAAGTCAAAGAAAAGCAACAAGTGGTTTTATATCATTTGGCAAATGTTAAATCTACTTCAGGATGAGAGGAATCGCATTGTAAATTTTACTATCCTGGCTAGATCTCCACTGACTGCCAAGGAAGCCTATGCTGACTAACTGATGTAAAGCCTATTTTGCAGAAGCCTACATTTAGCCAGCTGAATGCTCCTGCTTATCAACATGTAAGATGACGATGCATAAAGCAAGCTAATGGTTGTATGATCAAAAGTAGACATAAAATCAGTAGCTGATGAGATGATCCTACAAATAAATCAAAACATCACATTTAAAGTGCTACCTGTATTTCTTGAGCAATAAACACAGACAGAAATATTTAAAGAGACAAAAATGTCAGTCTGTCAGTATTTAGACTAACAATTTCAGTATACATTTCCAATAACCGCTATAAATGAGCCTAGCTCTTCTACAGGTTTATGTGTAAATTAAATATAAACTTTAACCTATTTATAAAATAAACTCATACAGGTTTATTTATGGCTTCTTTCAGCAGTTTTGCAGTTTCTTCCCACTCATTTTGTTTGTTCTCTTCACAGACATTCAGTGGAGATCTTCCCTGTTGATCAGTAATGTGCTACAAACATAAACATAAACAGTGATAATACATTGTTTTCACTGGAGATAGGTAAACATTTACACATTTTTTGAGATAATTAAAATCCTTGATCCTAGAGTTCAAACATTTAATTGATATACAGTGGAAAAAATAGAGGTAATGAAAAACATCTAACCATTTTTTGGTAATCTCTCAACAGGATCATTGTGTTTACACATGGTGATCTGGACACAAAATAATTCACATATACAAGCTAGAAACTGTTGCTAAAACTGCTGCTTCTATATACAAACAGAACTCACTCTGTCAATTTCTGGATGATTTAGTAGAATCTGTACTATTTCAGCATGCCCACCTCCAGCAGCAAAATGAAGAGGAGAGCTAAGCTGGCCATTCAAAAGATTTGGATTGCATTTCCCTTTCTCCAACAGCATTCGAGTGGCTTCAACTTTTCCATACCTGCAGACAGGTTTAAAGCAGAACAGACATAGCAAATGTAAAATAAAACATTTTTTCAGATAGTCCTAAATATTCAAAAGTATATTTCCATGCTCAAGGGCTTCTAGCTTTGAAATGAAACCAAATACTAAAGACAGTGGAATATTAATAAGTTGGTAGAAATTAGTATCAGTTCTGCACTTCTTTGGTAACCATTGGTCTAATAACCATTTACTGAATTCATTATAGACACACTTTAAACTAGCTAAGTTTGTGTAGTTGTAGCAATTCAGTCATGGCAAAACAGAGCTCAGACTTGCCTGAAATTAAAAAAAAAAAAAAAAAAAAAATCTGTGTGAGAATCAGAGTAAAGATTGTGGTTGTCATGCAGATGGGTCCTGAGGACTCTTAAGCCTCACACTGGTAACTGGTAAATCTTGTGTATACTGTTTATGCAAACTTTCTGACACACACTGAAAATCAAGTAGGTTGTTTTTCTTTTTAAACCGTTTGATTTTCATGTTATTCATATCATCAGGCACTACTATAAATACAGAAGACGAACTTGCATAAAGACAAAACAAAAGCATTTTACAACAACTGAGGAAAATTTTCAAGCACTTACAGATTAAATTATCCCAGAATAATAGTCAGACAAGTTCACCTCTGTAGATCACCTAGTCCAGCTTCCAACTCAAAGCCTGACCGTCACCACATATGCTCAGCTCAGCTGTTGCTGTGCTGTAAAACTGCTCAAAGCCTTTAACCAACAAAGACTGTACAAGTTGCCACACTAAACTACACTCAGTGGCTCCAACAGGAATTAGAACAGATGCTTCAGGACATATATATGAGGCAATACATAAGTGTTTGATGATACCATCTCCACACATGATCTCCTCTGAAACCATTCAGATTGAAATTATCTCAAAACCTGAAGCAATCTTTCTCTTCAGAAGGTTAACACTAACATATATTAGAGTCAAAGTGTAAAAAGTCTAGAGTCTTTCTGATTTCTCATTTTTGAGTATGAAAAATTACAGAAATGATTAGTGCTGAAGAATCACAATAGCAAGAATGCATTTGATTGGCAAAACTATATTCATCTGACTCACCAGCATGCGTAATGAATAGGTGCCCAGTGGTCACTATCTAACTGATTAACAGAAAACTTTTTATCCAGAAGGTGGCTTAGTAAATCAGAGTCGCCTTCGCAAGCACTGCGGTGAAGAGGAAAATCATCTACCCACTGGTGTTCCCTATGAATTAAAACAGGAAACAGAAGGAAAACACAGTTCAGAAATATTTCAGTAGTTGAGAACATTGACTTTTGAAAAATTATTAACAGCACTAACTGTGGATCTACAGGAGGAATAAAAATGAAGCTCATGCAGCTAAAATGTGCCAGTATTCATACAGCTAGTATTTTTGTCATACAGTAGCCAAACCACAGCTGTATTCATTACACTAAGAAATGCTTCCCTAATGTTTATAATTTAAACCTTTCTTGATCCATCATTTAATTGTTGCGTTTCATTACTTAGAGACTTCAAATAGAACTTAAATACAGTAAAGCCCTAAATAGGAATCTCATTCTGACCAAGTCTACCCAGTACTACTGTAATATAACAAAAAAAAAATTTATATGTTAATGAAAAAGGAATGTAACATAATACTTGTCCTCTGTGACACTGCTCATGCTACGTTGCCACTTCTCTCTTTTAGGAATCTGAATCTTTGAATAGTCTGGGGCTCCCAGGCCGAAGTATGGATTTATTACCACTTTGTCAACCTGTGAAGACATAATTTAAACACAATGGAAAAAATATCTTACTGAGATTTGGCCAAACAATCCCCCATCCAGGCCAGGTATTCTCTTGAAACCAAAGTTATGAATAGGAACATTTTATAATTAACAAGAACAATGTTCAAATGTGAGGATTTGAAAAAACACCTAGAGGTGTGCAATAAAGAAATCTGATTATGTTAAATATAAAGCACATACTCATATAAAATTAATATAAGATGAAAACATATGTATGTTTCACAAATACAAAATGAAAATATAGTTCCTACCCTATTGGTATACTGAAGGTCAGACCCAAACAAAGGATTATAGATACACATATCTGCTTTCTCCAATGCCAGCATTTTACTCTTTATTTCCAGGGCAGTGTAACCCATGTGTAACGAGCTCTCTGTTTGACCAGGTTCTATAGCATAGGCAGGGTTTATTACATTTGTTTTAATTCTCTCAAGAGGAGATGGTCTGAATAAAGCTGGGATGGAGTGAGACTGGGTGTGTCGTTCATCTAACCACCTGCAGGAGAGAATGGGCAAATAATTAATTTTCAGGTAGAAAAGGACTTTTCTGGTCACATCTGTCCATTATTTTGTTTGGTTAAAGGTTGCATGTATGATAATCACACATTTTAATTGAAAAAATAATTTTAATTATCATGTGCACCGTCAATCTTATAGCACTAAATTAATCCCAAACATGAAATTTTTTAACCAAATATAGTTAAGCAAATGTATTTGCTCAAACACATTTCCTGCAGAGGCAAGCTCTCAAAGGAAACAAAATTATAAGCTAAGGTAAAAGTAACATTGGTTATAGACAAAACACTTAACCACACAAGCATGTTACCATTTCATTTACTTTCAGTTTATCAGTATCACTACTCTCAACATACAAATTTTGAAACTTAAAGCAGTCTGTTTAAGGGTGAATTGAAGTTTCAGTATCTGTGCTGACTTAAGCCTTCTAACTCATGTGTTTCATTAGGGAAAGGTGGGAAAAAACAAAAAAATCAGGATGTCCCTTGGAAGTTTCCAAACTGCCAAGTCTCTTTCACAGAGGTTATCACCTGTGTTTTCACAAACCTGTGCTGAAGGTTATTCTCGAAGTGCACTACTACCAACAGTGTAGAAGACCTCTAGAGCCCTCTTAATCTGAGCTAGAAGGGAAAGTCAGCACTGTACACCTGCTGCATTTCTTTCTGCCACACATGCAATATAACACAGGGCTCAGGATTTCTGGATAAATATATTTTCACTGAATTGCTAAACTATTTTAGTGTTATGTTGAGCAGGGCACATTTTAACTAAGTCTAAAGCCATGTTTGTATTTAAGGTTTCTGCACATACTTTCTCACAAGCTTGAGATAAACATGTACTTTGCTGGAAAACAATGAATTCCGTTCAGTGACTTAGTCACAGAAGAAAGATAAGTACATGCTTTGGAAAGACAGATCCACTGACAGACTGTCTGGGTCTTGTCTGTCCCAGAACCATGTGTAAGGATGGCAGAATGTGGCCTGCAGCCCAGTGCATATGCTTAGGCCAGGATTAGTCCCAGATCCAGGCTATCATGTGCTGCAAAAACCATGTTCTCTTCACTTACTCATAGTCCTGCTGGGAAGGAGGACTGTAAAGTTGTGATCATCGTGCTATAAACACCCTCTTGCCTCTCTGAGGTATTTCCAGGCATTTTCTCTACACAGTTGGCAGATAAATTTTTTATGGTAGTTTAAGCCTTTGAAAAGTGCTGTTTCAGATTACATATATAAAGAATAATCAATATAACCTATTTTCTAGTATAATTCCAAGGTTTCTCTCACAACTGTAAGGCTGGTAAAATATCTTTAGCAGAGCTTAGAGTCTGAAGGCACTCATTAAATACCAAGTAAATATAACTGGCACAATGGTATACTTGGAAATATTATGACTCTACTAACAAACTGTAAAAACCCTACACATGGAACTTTTTTAGGTAATAGCCTGTAACATAATTTTCTATGTTAGTCAAGAGCTTCACCTAACTTTATTAATGCAAATAAGTTCATACATAAGTAGGTCTGGTATTTCTTTGTTAAGGGTACATAAAACAGACAGAAAAATTGCTCACATATTCAGTTTTCAAACTACTATAAATCTGTCTAAACAACTAATCACCTTCCTGAAGGTGAAGTCCCTTCTGCAAATAAATTTGTATGGCTAGGGAATATGTACTCCCTTTGTAAAGGGTTGTTTAATTTAAAAGCAAATCAGAATGGTATACAATTAACATGACATTTTTACTACATTCTGGCAAATACTCTTACAGATGGCAATTATGTCACTTACAGAAGATTTATTGTTAGTATTTTATATGATTTTACAAAATATTCACTGTGAGCAAGAACTTCCAAAAAGCCGCTTGGTTTAGATAAGCACACCATTCTTGAGTTTGTAAAAGATTTTTTAAAACATTTAGAAATATATTGTCAAGGTTTCAGTTTCTGATAAACATGAAGGAAATAACCTGGTATCACAATGATTTCCTTCTAATCACAAGAATGATATAAAACTTATGTGCTACATCTACAAATGTTCTATTTTCATGTATTTTTAGTGATGGCATTTCTTACTTATCCAAGGCAATTAGCATTCTTGCAGTAAGCGTAGCAAAATGGGTGCTGGATTCACTGCAGACTCTCATGATGTCTTGGAAACAGTAGAACACAGGGCATCCAGGACTATATGCATATTTTGTATTATCTAAAAAGGAAACATACTCTGAAGACACATCAATGAGAAGAATCTTATTTTCCCTTCTGCATCTTCTGTCGTTTCACGTTCCAAACTAACCAAGAGCATAATCTAACTAGAGTAACTAATTTTTTTCCAAATGCTAATTGATAAAAATTACATACAATCTTTACATAATTCATAACATAATTCACAACTCAACAGGGTAGCCTTAAAAACCTTAAAGTGTTCAGTTACTATTCCATCAGTGTGATCAGCTCCATCTGAGGAACTGATGTTAAATGTATACTATTGCCAGAAAAAAATTAATAGGACTCAGAACTAGAAGAGGTATTTACTTCTACTGGTAACTCCACAGTGGCTTTTATTTTATAGTTTTTATCCTTAAGGCCTATCAGTAAAGAAAAGATGAAGGAGCTTCCTCAAAAGCACACAGACATTTAATTTTTTTAAAAATACTTTCCTGACAAGCAATGTACTTTGTCTTCTAAAGACTTTTTTTCACCATTCCTTATTCAAATAAAACCATTTACAGACTTCAATAAGCATTCTTCTCTGAGTAAACAACACTGAACTGAATAAGATGTCTTATTTACACTTGCATTCAGTAAATTCTATACAAGTTAATGTATATGTTTTGAAATATAATCAAGTGAACAAATACAGTTTAAAACAGAAGTGTGCTATCATTACAGAAACAAAGGCAATACATTAAAAACAAGCTTTTTTCCTTAACTGTAAGTAACTTCTTCAAGTTTTAAACTACTCAGAGACAGGTTTCCACCTGAATTTAACTTACAATGTTTAAATGCAGAAACAGCCATATAGCATATTCATAAAAATTCTTAATAAACCTTCAACTGAACTTCTGCTAAAATGGGTGAGAAATTATGCTCAACATTACCTTTCACAACAGCTGGAACAACGTAAAGTGATGCCTCCTGGCCTGCCTTCTCTCCATCAAGAGGAAACTTCTTCATTAACACTACACGCTTTCCTAGCACAGTATTGAAAAGACCCAAAATAATTAATCAACAAACCGAAACAATCTAGAGTTGGCTATCTGAAAGCTTACCAGACCCAACCTTCCTAACATCTAGGAAGAAAAAATGATTATTAGGAGCTATGGTCTAAAACAAGCTAAGAAAAATCTAAATACAAAGCCATTAACATGAGAAATGACGTGACTGTACCCCCTTCATCATAGCAACTTCTCTATACCAGATTTTTCATAGCATTCACCCTGCCAAATCACCTATCTTTAAGTTACCCTCCCTTCCACCCAGAATTTATCATTTTGTTTGCTTTTCTGATCTCAGCTGCATATTTTAGCCACACTAATGATATTAATGACTGGATCCTCTGTTTGAGTAAATGTAAAACTCTCTAAACTGTGTAAGAAACAGCTTTTGTTTTCACTAGGCATTCCTCTATGTGTATTAATTCTGCTATTTCATGTTTGCTGCTCAGCTAGCTTTAAGTCCAGCCAAGTCCAGTTATTGCCACCTGCAACATTTTACCACGCAACCAGCTATTTTTCCAAAATTGTTAGCACTGCATTGTCTTCTCCACACTGACAACCTTCCCAATATAACCTTACTTACAAAGCAGAGATGAGGTACGCAGCAAAAAAAAATGCTTTAGTCAGTGCAGTTTATACCAATCTGGAAATGAAACGTGCTGGCTAAACCAAATTTTGTCAGCACAAGCATGCGGTTATTTGTTAGACAAGCTATGCAACAAACATGAAAAAGTAAATGTACTAATTAAATTGTATCTGTGATACAGTTATCCCAGAAATATTTTAATGTAGATACTGTCTACTGAACAGTGCTGGCTTTAGAACAGACAGTAGAAGTGATCAGTGCACCAGTTCAAGTCAAGTTTTAGCCAAAAATAAGGATAAAAAAGCCACTTCAATCTGGTTTACTAGAAGTTTAGCTGTAAGTCCCAATTTGGGGTGAAGGAGTAGTACAGACAGGCCAAGTTTCACTTAATAAAAATATTTTAGTATACACTTTATAGAGTTGGTTTTATCAGTATAGTTGGCTTGGGGTTTTTTGATGAACCTCAAAGCATACTTTTTTTAACTAATTTCATGCTTTTGCACAACCTCTCCATGCCCATTTAATTTTAAAAATATTTTTGTAGAGCTATCAACAATATATCAGATGAAAATGGTTTTACCTTTAATACCCTGATTGGCTGGTGAAATTGGTTTGGTGGCTTCTAATACGTAATCCAAGATGCTCTGGGTTATCTCAGTGCCTCCCTGCAGTTTAGTTTCCAACAAAACTTTCTTTCTTTTTTTCTTTTGGCCTTCAATGGGAACTTCAAGCAACAAAATCTTTCAAACAATAATGAAACCAAAGGAGTTTAAGCGTAACTGAAACAAGCACAGAGCTTTTTATTTTTATTATTATTATTATATTGTACCACTGTAAAAGCAGTAACAAAATTCAGGAAGTATTGAATGTGGAGGAACAGGATGGCGAGGCCAGAATGACCTCCGTAACAGTAAGGTTAAAAAGAGTAAGACAAGGCTGCACTGTTGTACTGAGCAGCCTGCAGGGCAAAAGGCCCTGAAATAACAAGAAACACAAAGATATTACAAAACTGTGACGTGTTCAAATACCATAAGGGTGGGGCAATGCATAGTGGATATATGACATACATGGACTTTATGTAAGCAATGTTATTGTCATATTTTCTCTTCTGCTCTGATATATTTACTGTAACTTGTTATTTTTACAAATTTTTATAAATAAATAAAAACAAAATAGTTTTACTTCGTAGGATTTAGCTCGATATTCCCGAGAATTCAGGCTAGCAGTATTTTTTGGACGAATCACAGCAACATATGCATCTCCAATGTTTTCTGGGTTTCCCATCTCTCCTTCCTACTTTATCACTGGAAATAATGAATAAACAGGAAGTAAAGGTTCAGTTGAAAAAAAGAAAAAAAAAATCCAACTGCATGCTAAACTCTGGGATGCAATAACTATATTAAATGATTCTTTGCATTATTAATTTATTGATCTTTAGCTGGAGAAATACCAATGGCTGATGCAATTCTGCTTCCTTTTCATGAAAGAGGAAAATCCTACATCACATAGATTGGATAGAAATAATCTTGTTCTCTATCACTATTAAAATAAAAACAATGTATTTTTTTCCACTTTGTAACTATCTTCCCCATTTTGCCAGCCAGGCAAAAGGTCAAAGAATTTTAGGACTCTGAAAAAAAACACGAAATTGAAAAAGAAAACCATTCTAAAGTGACAACCCCTCCCTGTAATTTATAAAATGTGCTATGACAAAGTACTGCATTTCTATGAGTTCCATATGGATTTCAAAAACATACCTGATTTTCCTCATCCCCACCCCCAGGAAGTAGAGCCCAGTCTTGCCTACAGCCCAAGTAACAACGCTGAGAAAAATAAACTATAATATGGACTAATTTACTTAGTTTTACTTCAGTGGGGCTTCAGACCAGTATACAGTTCATTAAAACACAAAACTTCTGAAAGGAATACGTCTTCAGTTTTTCCAAAAAGTGGACAGATTCAAGGTAAAACTTTGCTTACTATTCTGTTTAACCCAAAGTGACAAATCCTATAATCATTAAATTTTACCAGAATGATAGGGAAAACCTCCTAAGGCTAAATCACTTCACATAACAGATTTGAAAAAGGTCCTATCTGGCCATTAGCACCTTTCAGCTGATCATTTTCTTCATCTGCAAATTAAACCCCTTTCATTCCATACAGTCAGTATGCATGTTTATTGCAGATTAATTACTCCACAAAGATTTTTTACATTGCTGTTTCTAGCTTCACCTCTTCTAGGAGAAACAGAGGTCTTCAGATTCCCATGCCCTTAGTCCAGTATTTTTGCTGGGATCAAACTACCTGAAAACATATTAAAAAAACACAATATAAATAACAACACGCACATTTTCACCTTAAGATAAACATATTAGTTAATGATTCGAACAGTAATATCTGAATAGAATCATCTGTTGATTTGCATTACAGCAACACTTAGAAACATTAAATAAGCAACGCGCTGACTTGTGAGAGCTCATACTTTGGGATATTAAGAGTTTTGAAGGGAACCACCCCTTCCGAGCAGCTGGAAGACACATGGCTCCCGGGGTTTCCTTACATGTACTGGGATATACTGGGTCCGGGTCACAGGCTTGTGCGTGGAGGGAGCCTGCAGAGGCAAGGCTGGGCCGGCTGGGTGGCGGGTGATGCTCAGGTGAAGGAGCAGCGGCTGAACTCCCTCTGCCAGCGCTCTGCACTAAATCCGGGGGGGGGGGGGGAGGATGCCTGGGAAAGCCAGCCCCGAGAGCTGCGGCATGGCTCCATTAAACACAAACCGAGGATGAAGAAGGGCGGGGCGGTGAGGATGTGACAATGACGGTGACCAGTTTCAGAATGCACAACCGGTGAACTGCCCGTGACCAAACCCCGGTACCGACGACGCGTCCCTCGGTTCTAGAGAACGTGTCTCGGCTAGGCCTCTCCCCGCGTCTCCCGACGGCACCCTCAGCAGCCCGGGGCCGCCCTCCTCCTCCTCCTCCTCCCCCTCAGCCCGGGACCCGCCGGGAGGAGGCAGCGGGCGGCTCCCGCCGCCCCGTGGGGACACACGCGGCCGCGCCGCCCGCCCCGCCGAGCGCAGGCCCCGCACCGGGAACGGCGGCGGCCTCGGCCTCCCCCGCCGCGCTGCCTCGCCTCGGCATGGCACGGCAAGACCGCCGCCACGGAGGGAGCCGGCCGCCGCCAGCGGAGCGCGAGAGGCGGCCCCACGCCGCCGGTACCTCCCGCTCCGCGCCCCACGGCCGGGAAACGCCCCCTGAACTTTCCCGGTCGCGGCCAGGAGCCGGCCGGGACCCCCCAGGGGTGTCCACGCCGCAGCCCCACAGAGCGGTAACGGGTCCCACGGCCTCGGCACCGCCCCGCCGGGGTGAGGGGCAGCGCCCCGGCCCCGCTCCCTCCCTTGCCTTCCTCGGTGGTGTCGGCCGTCGCCTTCCCCGCCGCATCCTCTCGCCGCGCCCCGGAGCCCAGGCCCCGCGCCTGAGACGCGTCCCACTCCGCCCCGTCCCCGCCCCGCTCCCTCCCCCGGCTCGGCGGATCCGCTTCCCGTCGGAGCCCTGCGGGCCTCGGCTGCCGATGAGTTTCCGGGTCGGCAGCCTGAACGACTGCTGCCGCCGCCGCCCGTTGTTGACCGCGGGCGGAGGGAGCGGGAGAGCGACCGGGCTGTGGGCCGGGCTGGGAGCATGAGGCGCTGCTGGCGGGCAGGGAGGCGCTGAGGCGCAGCGGCCGCCCGGGCCCGGGGAACGCCGCCGACAGCTGTCAGCGCCGTTACGCCGCCAGGAGCCGCCGCCGAACAAAGGGGCAGCGAGGCAGCGGCAGCCGCAACGCCCCGCCTGCGCGGAAGCAGCCTCGCCGCCGGACACCCCGCGCCGCTTCGGCCGCCGAGGGACGGCCCCGGCTGCCCGCGGGCCGGAGCGGGCGCGCCGGAGGGCGCCGTACCCGGAGCGCAGCGGGGGAGAGGGAGAGAGGAGCGGCCGCTGAGCAAATGGAGGCGCTGGGTGGCGGGCGCGGAGGCGCCGGGAAGGGCCGGGGAGAGCCCCTGTGAGGAGCCGGTGAGTGCCCCGCGCCGCTGGCGGCGATCCCGGCGCCGCTGGGGGAGGCTCGGGCGGGGTCCGTGGGGCTGCGAGAGGGTGGGGCGGGGCGAGGCGAGGCGAGTCCGGCCGCGGGCGCAGAGGGGGGGGGGACTTGGCACATCTGGGCGTCGGCAGCCCGTCGCATCGCGGGTGGGGCGGGCCAGGAGGCGGCTCCGGGGGCGCCTCGGCTCCGGCGGCGGGCGAGGGGAGCGGCGCGGAGCGGAGGAGGCGAGAGCGCAGGGCAGCGCCGGCGTGCGGAGGTAAACAAGCCGCGGGTTAATGAGGCTGGGCGGCCCCGGACGCGGCGGCGTGGGCCCCGGTGGGTAGGGGGGAATCGTGATGGCGGGAGGCAGCGGCCCGCCGGGCCGGGTTGTCTGGGGCGGGGGGGACGGACGGGCCCCGGCCCGGGCTCTCGCCCGGCGCCGCGGTGGCGGGTGGGGGGGTCGCTGGGACCCCGGCCCGGTGGGTGCTTGGCAGCAGCAGCCCCGGGGCGGCGGGGCTCCCTCGGCCGGGACCGTTGGAAAGTTTGGGGCTGCCCGCTGGCCTGGCTTCAGCCAGCCCCCGCTGTTGAGCTCACGCCCGCCGTGGTCGTTGCCTGCAAATCCTGCCTGCACGGCAGCGGGAAAAAAGTGCGAGTTGCCGGAGCGTGTGCGGCTGGGTGAGCTGTGGCAGCGTAACCTTGCTTCCAGACTGGGTAACGCCGAGCTGAACTGCCCTTCTTGAATGAAATTGAACGCTCACGATCTCGTAGGGGTAGGTTGGTTTGTTTGTTTTAGGGGTTTTTGTGTTGTGGTTTTTTTTTTTGTTTGTTTGTTTTTTTCCCGTTGCTCCTGGCTTTTTTGTTTGGGTTTGGTTTTGTTTGTTTTGCTTTTTTTTTTTTTTTTTTTATTCCTTAGAGGAAAAAAATGAGTCTTGATACTGTAACAGTTTTATGTACATAGCAGTATCACTTTCCCAGGCATGTCTAAACACATACTGGAAATCAGGCGACTTAAAAAATGAAGAAGAACCTTGATAATTCATGACTGCTTAGTTTCTCTTTTATTTACAGTTCAAATAGTATGCAGAGGAGATGTGGAGTCACAAGAACATGCTCTGCAGAATAAGGCACTAATACCACATCTTAAATTGTTTGCATGGACCCCTTCATCATTACAGACCATCGTTGGTTCTGTTTTCTTTGAGTTCATTTCTGTGCTTACCAGTTCCAGAAATGGAGTGTTAGTTGTAGGCATAACATCAGTAGGTGTACTGTAATTTCAGTACATTCCCTGAAGAGAGAGACCACGTTTGAGAGAATTATTAGCTATAGAGGTTAGCAGTGAAAAGAGACTCAGTCTCTTCACACAGGTTATGGGTTTTTTATCCTTTCATCTCTTCGATTTTCAATACAAAGCATGGGGGATTAATTTATCCTTAATCTCTCTAGGGTACAGAGAAAGAATACTCTTCTTCCTTGGGGGGAAAAACGAAAAAGAAAGGTTTAGTCATATGGAAAGTAACAGCATTTTTCAACTGCTAGGAACATGTGGCTTATTTAGTTAAGGTGTCTACACAGAAGTGAAATGGTAGAATTTATAGTAACTTTTTTTTTTTTTTTTCCCCCTGGACATGGAGAGAATAAATGGCTGTCCTTACAGATAAGAAAGCAAATTATGGAAGAGGCTTCTGGAAACTTTAATTCCAAGACTCTATGTCATCCTGTACTCAAGCAATTAATTCTTTAACAAATTTTAGTTTAGTCCTTAAACAAGAGGATAAAATATTTCAATAATATAATATATTATTCCTGAATAAAAACATTACTAGAAATCTACTAAAAAGCTAAAAAATGTTGGTGGTACCCTGTCTTCATATACATATATATGGATCAGTAGAATATCATGAATGAAAATTAATTTTAAAAAGCAAAATAAGAAAAGCAGTGGCACTACTATCATAATAATAGTATCAGTAGCCAAAAGACAAAAATTAAGCAAGTAAGTTTTATGCAGTCTATCTAATTTTTGCTTGGGCTGTACACATCTAGATAGGACTACGTATGTACATACATAAGTACATGATTAGGCTTATTGAAAAAACATGGAGTTTCCTAGACATAGTTATATATTGTATGTAAGTTTACATGTATTTGTTTGTTATATGTTCCTATCAGGCATACAGAGTCCAGAAAACTGAAGGAAACTAAGCATGTAAATTTAGAAGGCAGTACCTTCTAGAGCTCTCAGCTTTTTTGCAACGGAATAACAATAAAAAATGGTTTTAGAAAATGTCATTATGTCTTTGTTCACTATATAAGACCTTTTTAACACTATGGCTGATTTAATCTGTCCTGAGCAGTTTCTCACCCACTGGTTTGCGACACCTCTGCTGTGATTGATTAGCACTACAGTGCTTTCTGTTTCAGCAATGGAGCTTTGTTTATTAATTGTTAACTAGTTTGGCTAGCAGGGTTTGTGCTGATTTTTTTTTTTTTTTTAGAGGGTTGTGGTTTTTTAGGCTTTTTGCTTGGGTTTTAGTTTTTTGTTGTTTTGTATATGTGTGGGTTTAGGATTTTGTTTGATTATTTGGGGTTTTTGTTTTAGCTTTGCTGTTTTGATGTCATGTGGATACCCTTACCTGACTAGTTAATTAACTTCACCTCAGAATCTGAAAACTTGAAGCTGGTCTCTACAGTTGTCACTGTTGAAGTTTTGTTGCCTTTCCTGAGATGACTCATGCCAGTAAGAAAGAAAATTGAGAAGCTGGAGGTTACAAATACATGTGCTGAACCAGTTAACATTTCTAATCACATTACTGTATGTGCATAATTGATAATGATACATAGCAAACAGATCTGTTTGGCTTGAAGAACAGCCCTATGGAAATTCTGAAATGTTCAAAATGACAGGAGAAGTTGTGTTTTCAACACCATCATCATCAGACAAGACTTTACTGATTTCCCTCCTTCCTCCCAAAATACGTCACATACTTTCCTGTGGAGCGGTATTGAAATCACACGTGTGTAGATTTTAGGGGCAAAGAATGTTTCATGCAAGATTATAGTACATTGAAAATTCAAGCCAGATAAGTCTACCTAATGTTTAAAACTGCTAGTTTTCTTCAGAACCACTAAATGTCTACCAGATTTAAAGTGGAACTAGTAGAAATAGTCTTTCTTTGCCATTGTGGAAGGCCAAGCACAAGATCCTCCACCTGGGCCACGGCAACCCCCAATATCAATACAGGCTGGGGGATAAATGGATTGAGAGCAGCTCTGTGGAGAAGGACTTGCGGATACTGGTGGACAAAAAGTTGGACATGAGCCCACAATAGGCTCTTGCAGCCCAGAAGGCCAACCATATCCTAGGCTGCATCAGAAGAATCATGGTCAGCAAGTCAAGGGAGGGGATTTTCCCCTTTTACTCCGCTCTTGTGAGAGCACCTGCAGTGCTGTGTTCAGCTCTGGGGCCCCCAACATAAGAAAGACATGGACCTGTTAGAGTGAGTCCAGAGGTGGGCCATGAAGGTGATCAGAGGGATGGAACACCTCTCCTGTGAAGAAAAGCTGAGTGCAAGCTGAGGTTGTTCAGCCTGGAGAAGAGAAGGCT